GACATCTTATTTACTAAGAATTAAGAAATAGTGATATCCCCGACTACACAGTTGGTGCAAATGGTTATAATCCAGCTGAAATAAAAGCAGCTAACAAAATGACACTAGCCGAAAATCAGGCTAAGGGCTCTTCACTTACTCCTTGCACAGGAAACTACTCCATTGTTTCAAATGCAGGTTTTGACTGAATAAGAACTGAACAGGAACATTAGATTTTGCCTCACCAACTATATCGTGTTGTTCAGTCTTTATATTTGCTATTTTGTAGTTGTCTTTGCTTCCACCTCGGCCCTCAAATTATGGACTCCATAACAATAGGAAAACTCACCAGATGCAGAGTTCAGCCTTTTAGCTTTCTTTGAACTGTTTACAGGTTTCAACTACCATGATTTATCATACTATTTTAGAAAAATGAAGGGCTGAGATTGCATATACATGATTCTGTGTCATTATAACTTGAACTAGTCAGAATTACTGCTTCTTCTCTAGAACTTTTGTTATTAGGCTATATAGTGGGAACCTATTGAAAACACAGATGAGACATAGTTCTCAGTAGTGGTTCCTCAGCTCTGCAACTTCCTACCTCTTGCAGACTATTAGAGACAGAGTCTGGACCTCTTTCAGAAGCAATGTAAAACCTCTGAATTTGGGCAGGCTTTTAGCAGAAGTTACGTTGTGGGGCACTGTTTGGAGAATTCCTTATTAAATACTATTCAATTTTAATAGTCTAACTGTTTTGATAATGTGTCTTGTTTTCTATTGTAAGTCACCCTGTGCATTTTCCAGGTTAGGATGGTATACAAATCAATCAATCAACCAACCAACCAGTCAATCCGTGTAAATTATTCTTCCCACTTTGTAAGACTGATGATAATTAAGGCTTTGAATTATGATGGAGGACAGGGTGATTTTCAAGGCAGTAGAACTGTACTAGGACTCATTGGCAGAAGCAGATGGCTTGCTCGAATGATTGAAGTGGCAGAACCTGAAAGAATAATGCATGGGAGTTTGAAGTTGAGCTGTTTGAATTCGTTTGAGCGGCTGTTTCTAGAAAAGATGGGCGCAATATTGTTGCGACCTGTCATTTTAGGCAGCAAACTGGAAGAAGATTGCAGCCTCTCTCTGTTAAGGTTTCGCGTGTGCACATGTATTGCTTCCCTTAGGCGCTGCTTTGCCTTTCTGCCCAAGGAGTACTTCTTTTACGCATGCATGTATGTATGAATTTCGCACTATTATTCCCTTAACGGGTCTTCGTTTCAGCCAGCTTCATGTGGAGCTCTGACTCAGTCCGTGCCTGCGCTCCTGTCCATCTCCCCGCCGCGCGCCTTCTGCACGGCTGGCGGGGCCCTTCGAGAAGAAGTCCGTCCTCAGCCCCTTCCATGAAGAAGGGCTGCATCCCTGAGGAGACAGCCGGGGAGCTCGTGGCTCCAGCTCCAGCTGCACCCCGCGGTACCGCAGGAAGGCAGTCTCGGGGGCAGGTCTGGCACGGGCCCGCCTGGGCTCAGCCTTCCCCAGGGGCAAGGTCTCTGCTCCCCGTCTCCGGAGGAGCAGCGCGGGGCGGCGAGGTGCCGAGCCCGCAGCGTGCAGTGCACAACTTGCGCCTCCCGCCCGGGCCCGAGTGCGAGTCCGGAGCCGGGGCAGGTCCCTCGGGCGCGGGAGGCGCCTCCTTCCCCGCGCTCCTGCGGGAGCGGCGGGCGGACCCT